CCCAAGAAAGGGGAGGTTGGAGACTGGACGATAATTATTAAGGATAGCTGGATCCAAAGATGGCTTCTTCAGGAGGGGTCAGTGTTCCTGAGCCAACATGACTAGAGGAGGAATTCTGAGAGTTGAAGTCCTCAAGTCTTAAAGCTGTCAAGTTTGAACACCCCTGGGTTTTTTTTCTAAAGGATTAGGGGCCTTGTAACTTGATAACTTTAAGACTTGCGTGCTTCAAATGCCAGAGTTTCTGAGCCAACATTTTGATTGCTATGCAAGAGTGTTGTTAAGTGTTGTTTGCAAGTTGGCCATGCCCACCCAGTCACATGACTGCCAAGCCACTCCCACTCGGTCACATAGCTCGCAAGCCACTCCCACCCAGTCACATAGCCGGCAAGCCACTCCCACAAAGCAGGCCACACCTACAGAAGAGGTTCTAAAAATTTTTGAAACCAACCATTGCATAGATCACATTAGAAGAACACCTAATCTTATGTGTGTAAATGTTAGGGCTTATGGTGGTGCTCTTGGGGCAGATGTGGGGACAAGGCAGAGGTTCTAAAAAATTTTGAAACCCACCACTGCACTGAACCCATTATGTACTAGGTCTTGGAGTTAGCTGTGACTTTTGCTATCTACCCGATTTTAATTTGCTTAGAGTGTACAGTGCCATTTAAAGAAAACATTTCCTTCTGTATTTGAAAGAAAAGAAGTCGACTTATTTAATATTACTGCTATAACTTATTATATATCACCTATTAAAAAAATCTGCAGGAAAGTTACCCATCTTTTTCCTTCTTCTGTCTTCAGTTCAGCATACGACAGGACAGATGCAAGCATTCAAAAGGAAAAAGAACAACAACAAAAAAGTCAAACCATTAAACCGTGCGGGCATATATCTCTTGTTTACACTATGATCTGCATTTTTCACACTGAAATGATGATGAGAGGAAAAACCAGGATTGCTATCATTGCAGTTGTTTAATTCATTGCCATTACTCTTTCCATTTTGGTAGCAAAAGGTCGTAACTTCTTGAGATTCAACCCCCTCCCCCTCTAATCCTTCTCCCCTGAGTCATCATTTGCACAACATTTTCCGATGCTCTTCCAGAAAACCTTTCTTTCTGCTAACAAAGGATGTGTGTAAAAGGCAAGGGTGTTTGGGGGATGTTGTCAAAAAAATCAAGATGATGGCTGTGATTGTGCCATACGTGTTGCACATACAACGCATGTGAAAAGGTTAGGGCTTTGAAGGTGCTGTCAGAACCATCCTTTTGAATTTTCTGATTCCTCTGTGGGCACCCCAGCTAAAAAGTTTCCAAAAGACAGATTCCCCTCCTTTTTTTATATATATATATGGCTATCAGCATTCTAGGACTCAATTTCTAGCAACTGTAGGAAATACATAACCTTAATACAGCAATTCTTAATTAACCTTTTCCTTATACAGGTAGTCCTCGACTTACGACCACACCACAGCCCAAACCTATTTTGCAAAGCAAGAATCTTTTAAGTGAGTTAAGTGAATCTTGCCCCATTTTACAACCTTTCCTGCCACTGTTGTTAAGTGAATCACTGTAGTTGTTCACTTAGTGACATGGTTGTTAAGGGAATTTGGCTACCCGTTGACTTTGCGTGTCAGAAGGCTGCAAAAGGTTATTACAGGACATTGGGATACTGCAACCATTATAAATATGAGTCAGTTGTCAGGCGTCTGGATTTTGATCATGTGACCATGGGGATGCTACAAAGACTGTAAGTGTAAAAAATGTTCATAACTCACTTTTTTCAGGGCTGTTGTAACTTTGTATGAACCGTTGTAAGTCGAGGACTGCCTGTATTTACATATTAATTTTGCGATAGAGGCCGTCAAGATTTACTTTCACCTAGAAACAGTACAGTATGTAGAAACAATACACTACAATATCTTTAATCCTCTTGTGTCTGCTATTTCTGTAGGCAGTGCCCTGTAGACATTCAGCTACTCAGTTTCAAGTTAAAGTACAATCAGAATGTTGGTACAGAATAAAATACTGAATATCAAAACTACAGTATAAGTTCAATACCTCTATTGTTTCCCATATGACAAAGAAAAGAAGGGAAATCGCTTTACTCATTGTTTCTGCTCTCTCAGATTCCGCTTCGGGGCAAAGAATGCAAATATCTAGTTTATTGCATATTTGAAAACCAGCTTTTAAAACTGAAATTATTTTGTTAATTTGTTTCTTTACCAGATAATCCATATTACGCTACCGATGTGTTGTTGAATTTGTTTTTCTTTCTAGTTTGAAATTTTAAAATCCAAAATAAAATTACAGTGCTAACTTGTTTAGCTTGATATATTTGAGGGCTGATAGGCAGAGGTGGAGTTTGGTTCAGAATAGAATAGAATAGAATAGAATAGAATAGAATTCTTTATTGGCCAAGTGTGATTGGACACACAAGGAATTTGTCTCCAGTGCACAAGCTTTCAGAGTACATGCAAACAACAAAGTGATAAGTCATAGGTCCTAAACCATAAGGTATAACAACCATTGATGAATCACAATATACTAACAGGAGAAGATAGAAGAAAAGATAAAAGGTGCGAAAGATGAGAAGATGAGGATAAATTATATTAAATTAAAATGAATTATAATAATAAATGTCCCAGGATTTCCCAAATAAAACAATTGAATTATTAAAATGCTTATTTTAAAGATTGGGGTGACGGACGGACCTCTGTTCAATGGCTCTTCTAAATGAAGCACGCCCTGAAGTAACATTGTACAAAGATCCTATCCACAAGGCAAGTCACTGCCAGATAAAAGATGTACTATGTGAAATGACATTCCTGTTCTAGCTAATTAACACAACTTTGATTCCTCAAAACCTGCAAGCTCTAATCTCTTTGCATGAGAGAAAGTTTCACTGAATATCACAGACTCCCTTTAGAATAGTACAAGGGTCATATATTGTAAAGGGCCTAATTGTGCAAGAAACCACTGAAAAATCTCAGAGCTTTATTTTCCAACTCTGTTAATCTGTTAAATCTGTTATACCTGGCTATTTTTCCCTTCTATTCTGCTTTATATTCATAGGTGAATGCTTGAGCTATTTCCCAGAAGTTTTGTATCCTGGGATCTATACTAGATTAATAAATGCATGGCTATAATGGCTGGCTTGAAAGCAGGGAAATAATTTGACCCATATCAACTTTACAGGGCGGGGCATAACCTTTTCCTAGGGGGTCACAGCAACACTTGTAATAACAACACAAATAATTCATACACCATTCGAAAGCCCA